TTTAAGTTGCTTTATAACTTCTATGTAGACGTGTTTAAAATGAATAATTACTCATAAGGAAGAAATGACAAAAAATAACCAAATAAAAAATTAAAAAACGAAAAATATTATTTTAAAAAATCCGAAAAAAATCATGCATACTCTATACACGTAACCCAACAATCTCACGAAGTTTCATAGAAACATTCAATTTCACCCTGTATATTAACCGTTAGTAATAAATTTATTTATTGTTGAAAAATTATTAAAACTTTCGTTTCATCATAGTTTTTTTTTAAATTATCAATGTTAATTCAAACTAGTCATAGTCATAGTCTTAGTCATAGTCATAGTCATAGTCATAGTCATAGTCATAGTCATAGTCATAGTCATAGTCATAGTCATAGTCATAGTCATAGTCATAGTCATAGTCATAGTCATAGTCATAGTCATAGTCATAGTCATAGTCATAGTCATAGTCATAGTCACAGTCACAGTCACAGTCACAGTCACAGTCACAGTCACAGTCACAGTCACAGTCACAGTCACAGTCACAGTCACAGTCACAGTCACAGTCACAGTCACAGTCACAGTCACAGTCACAGTCACAGTCACAGTCACAGTCACAGTCACAGTCACAGTCACAGTCACAGTCACAGTCACAGTCACAGTCACAGTCACAGTCACAGTCACAGTCACAGTCACAGTCACAGTCACAGTCACAGTCACAGTCACAGTCACAGTCACAGTCACAGTCACAGTCACAGTCACAGTCACAGTCACAGTCACAGTCACAGTCACAGTCACAGTCACAGTCACAGTCACAGTCACAGTCACAGTCACAGTCATAGTCATGGAATGGACGACAAATTTGGTATGGAAACTTGAGACGATATGACGACTGCTCAAGTTTCCAACGACTCGCAAACTATTATCGAATTCGATATTGGTTCGTGCTAGGGGTACAGTTCTCACACAATACGTAACGAGAATTTGGACAATAAAATTATTTTTTTTTTCTTTCCAGATTGTATTATGCTGATATGGTGGTGAAATACCTATTCTATTCATTGTTAACGTACCTATTTTATTCACTGGTATGTGAAAACGTTCATTTAGTAGTAATAAATCGTTAATATAAAAAATGTCATAATTAAACGTTAATTAACGAGTACCATTAAACTGTTATTCGCGTCAAAAATTAAAAAATGTGATTATTTATTTACAAAAGATAGTTTTATTAGAATCAGAATATTTTTTTTGTGGAAAATGTAGGTTACTAGTTAGATATTACAGTAAAGGTGGGTAATTTAATATCTTTATATATATATAATTCTTCTGTGAGTGTGTATGTCACTGAACTTCTCTTAAACGACTGGACCGATTTTGATGAAATTTTTTGTGTGTGTTCAAGGGGATCTGAGAATGGTTTAGATTCACAATTTTGTCCGCTGGACAATGTTTTTTTAATTAATTTTTAATTTATTAGTAGTTGTTGATTTTGGAATGTTTTACATTGGATCCGACAGACGGCGCTACCATCGCAGTGTCAAATCTTTATTTATATAATTCTTCTGTGAGTGTGTATGTCACTGAACTTCTCTTAAACGACTGGACCGATTTTGATGAAATTTTTTGTGTGTGTTCAAGGGGATCTGAGAATGGTAATTTTCATCAAAATGGTCCAGAATGTTTTAGCTTATTAAAAAAAGTTTGAAATTTTAAATTAAAGACGTGTAGACAGGACATCGTCTGTCGGGTCCGCTAGTTATATATATATATATACAAGCTGACCCGGCGAACTTCGTACCGCCATAAAAAAAAAAAAATTAAAAAAACATTGTCCAGCGGACAAAATTGTGAATCTAAACCATTCTCAGATCCCCTTGAACACACACAAAAAATTTCATCAAAATCGGTCCAGTCATTTAAGAGAAGTTCAGTGACATACACACTCACAGAAGAATTATATATATAAAGATATATATATCACTACATTTTAACATTGTTTAAGTAATAAATTAAATCATTTTTACCTTTGTTAGGGTAGGTTATAAATAATAATTGGATCATTATTAATAATTATTACATTTTATGAATGCTTACCAACATTTATAATAAAATTGTGTTTTTAGTATTAGGTAGGTATAATAATTGCATGTTATTTCATTAAATATTTTTTATTGGTGTGTAACATCTTTCCTCTCGCTTTCCTGCAATTCGTGGGAGTGATTTCGTGAAGTGGGACGGAAGTGTGTAACAGGAAGTCGCGAAAGCGCGCGCTATGTGATTAGATTTTAGAACATAATGTTCAAATGGCTTATTCCTTTTGTAGTAGGTTTTATTTCTTTTTTTACTAATACATATAAGGTGAGGTTTCAAATGTTACACATCATACGCGACTACTGTAAGGCTCGCTCGTTTTTTTTGAGAATAAACATTGTATTGTTGTCTTTTGTAACTTTGCCATTATTTTCTAGTATTACTTTTATTTCAATTAATTAAATTACTACTTTCTCACTTTTACATTTGGTTTTATTTTGTGATAAATATTGGTGTGGTGAAATGAAACCACGTTGGCTTCGGAGTGTAAAGTAAAATGTATTTCTATCATAGGTAGGCATTTAATAGAGAATTTTCGGAGTGTTATTCGAAGTTGAAGTACGTAAGTTGCTCGTTTTTTGCTTGAGAGGTCGTTCTGGGCATGTTCCACTGAATGCATTTAATTTTTTAATGGGCAAAAGAAATCCCTATTGTGACAGTTGTCAAAATACTAGAGAAGATTTGATGCACATACTGATGGAGTGTTCGCAGAACGAAACACACAGAATTGATCTCATTTATAATACTAAATGTAGTAGACAAGATTTATTTTTTAAATTTCATCAATGTTTTAGTTCTAACTTTAGTTGTAGTAACAGCGACAGAATTCATAAGTTTCTTTCATTGTCCTTATCGAATTGTGATATACATTAAAGTTATAGCTATGTAGCCGGCTTAACCTTTAAGGTGGCTTAATAAAGAATAAAAAAAAATTATGTATACTAATATAAACAGATAACTGCAGATCAAGTCATCCAAAACTGTCAAATTTCTGCAAGTGACTTTCAACTTCATCTTATACAATAAAAGATTTACAATCTATTGAGACATTTTAGTGTTAACTTGATCTGTGGCTCTCTGTCTGTTTATACCTACTTTATAGAAATATAATTTATTCTTGTAAAATATTTTTTTTTCCTCTTATGAAGTTTTCGGACTCGGACTCATAAGGGTAGCTAAACACATAAGGGGCTGTCCATTAATCACGTGATATCAAATCACGAAATATCACAAGGGGGGGGGGGATAGTATTATATCACGAGCATGTATAAGCACAAAATAGTATTTTGCATTTCTTTCATTATTTTTATGTCAGCAAAAACCTGCAACCTGTTGCAATAACGAAGTAAGTTTATTGGTAGTCTTTAATTTTCCATAATAAAATTAGATGATACTTATACCTGTATCTTATAAATATAAAAAAAAACGTTGTTCGACAAATACTGCCGGAACAGACTATGCCGGCCCGATTACGTGTATAGCAACCCTTACGGACTCCGTAGAGCTCGCAATATTTGGTAAATTTTATAGAACTTCACTTCCACTGCTGTGTGCAGAGCGGACTAAAAGAGGTGGGCGGAGTTCAAAGGAGTACGCTGTGACATGACATCGAAAACTAACTTTGTTCGCTCCTCCCTCCGCTCGCCTCCCCCTTTCCCAACCATCCTTACTTACTATTACTGTATAGAATATAGAAGCAACACTTTTCTCATTATATTTAAGTCATGGACTTTTTAGAAAAGATAACATGATGGAGGGGCTTATTTATCTTAGGGCTAAAAGGGTCCATAGCCCGGAGCGGCAAAAACCAAGATTAATAATACATTTGTTACTGACTTATATTTCAATTTGATTAATTCCAGGGGTTATCGGGCAGATTTTAAAATTTCGCCCTTGTCGGACAATTTGAATTGAAAATTAACACGTCTTTGTGCTGCTACGGACCGCGTGACACTGTTCTTAACTCGACAAAGCTCGTCTGTTTTGGAAGCATACAACCTCACTCATCCGACGTAGCTCACTCCGCCAAACCAGTTTTCAATGGAAAGCCACAACCAGTTTTCTGGATTTTTTTTTTGGTAGTTGTCAAAACTATTTTGGTTCCGATCGCTAGAACATTTCCCGCTCATTATCCTTTGCCAGTTGAAAGCGGCAATGCGGTTATTGAACATAAATACTTTCTTTGACTAGTATAATGCTAGTCTTATTAAATACTAAAAAAGTCCATTGAAACAAATTAAGGGCGCTTGGCCTCGGACCCTAGTTGAGTTAATCTGTCAAGTGTGAACTGGCATCTCTTATCTAATAGACAAGTCCGTCCGTCCGTCCGTGGTGCTGTTTCAGCGGCCAAACCGTAAGAGATAGATATAGAGAATGTTTAAGTTATAAGTTAAGAATAGTCTGATAAGACTACAAACCGGATGTGAGTAACGTAGCACTTCCGGTTATCGAGAAATCACGTGATTTCTATTCCAAACGAAACCACACAAAATCTCCGAAGTTCTCAATTAATTAAATACATTTTTTTTTGTGAACATTTGGTTCACTGGTTTGCTAGTTAGGTATAATTTCGAACCCCATCCCGATACGTAACAATATTCATATCCTACTCAACGAGCCCTAGACAATGACATTTCACGTGTATGAGACCCCCATTAAAAATAATGAAATTGAATTTTGAACTAAAAATTCGGCTTTGTTCTGTAACTCAATACGCTTACGATCTATAGACTCTTGGCATAGAAACAGATATACGACAGAATTTCAGCAAAAGAGGTTCGTTTATTAGGCTTTCGTAGTATCACGGAAAGTTTATTTAACTATAATCAGTACTGTCATGTGAAAAGTTTTAGTTTTTACTACTGTCATGTCAGTCTAATGCAGACTTATCGTGGTCCAACTATAGATCTCACAAACATGTGATTTAAACAAGATAGCACCATTTGCCATACTGCACGAAGAACAATTAATTGGATGAAAAGTTCGAAGGTTTCGACATCTCACGCAGTGGTGATATCAACTGGCCACCGAGATCAAAATTCAAAATTCAATATCATTTATTCAGTCTAGGCTGTTACAAACACTTGTGAATGTCGAAAAGCTACGCCATCGGTTCGCAAATCTACGGCGGGAGACCTTGTACTGAGAAGAACCGGCAAGAAACTCAGCAAGGGCTGTTTTTTTCTCCCTGTATTATACAGGGTGAAATTGAATGTTTTAATGAAACTTCGTGGGAATGTTGGGTTACATATATAGGGTATCTCTGATTTTTTTCGGATTTTTTAAAAAATGATTTAAAATAAAATTTTGTTTTTTTTTGTTATATTTTAAGTCCTTTCCTCCTTTTGGGTACTAAATAATTATTCTTTTAAAACATGCATACAGAGTAAGTAAAAAACAAGTAATAAGCACTACTAAAAAAGACGTAAAAACAGGAGACGGGCGGCCGGGAGCAATGACCGCTCCCGCCGTTGAATACCTTCCTGCCTACCTATCTAGGTATGCGCGGTGCACAGCGCAGCGCAGTGAGCGAGCGGAGTCTGAAGCGCGCGTGCGTATCTTTTAAATTTGTGACAAGACAAGATTTGCAAATAATGCCTTGATTAGTTAATTAATTAATGTTCTGTGCCCTCAATATAAGAATTTGGATATGGTGTGTTGTTATTGCGAGTGTCAAGGAATACTCAGCACAGCCACAAGGCTTTACGAAAGTAGGTTTGGTGATTTATTGGGAAGTTATAGAGAAAAAAATTAATAGGTACATCGGTCTCGTAAGTACTTTTGAATACCTGGTAATAAATTTCATTCTGACCCAAGTATTGAACTGCAATAAGTATTTCTTTTTGTTTAACTTTTGCCTATTTCCAATCGTGACAAAATTATTATTAACTTTTTAAGTTTTTCTCTGCTTAAGAGAAGATGACATTTGTGCTTATTATTTCAATTTCAATAAAGGCATCTAAGACGATTTTATTGTATTGTGTGGAATCAAACGAGTCAGCTAAGCTCTGTGTACGTACCTACTCACTCAACGGCTGGCGGGCGCGGTCGGTCGTTGACCCGCGGTGGAATTTTACTGTTTTTCCGTTTTTTAGAAGTGCTTATTTATTAGTTGTTTTTCACTGTATATGTAAGCATGTTTGTTTAATATGAATAACTACTCAAAAGGAGGAAAGGACAAAAAAATACACAAATTATAAATAAATACATGAAAAAAAATACTTCAAAAAAATTCGAAAAAAATCAGGCATACTCTATACTCGTAACCCAAAAATCTCACGAAGTTTCATTAAAACATTCAATTTCACCCTATATACAGAGTCGTCAATTTGAAAAATGAGTTCAATATGAGATAACCCATAAAGTCACTTTCCATTACAAATGTAAATGATAAAACAATTATGACTATAAAATAAAAAATATAAAAAACAGATTTAAAAATGAAAAAAAGTTTAGGAATGCCGTGTCCCACTGTTTAGGCATAAAAACAAATGTACCATTAAAGTTAAATACAACGATTAATAGTACCCAATGTAGCAAGAGCAGACTCATCTCCGCTGGTAGCACCCGTTCACGAGCATGACGCATGAACCAGCCATCGCTTCGCTCAACCATTTTTTAGGGAACGTAATGACCCGCCTCACACGACACCGCCGAAGAGATTTTTAAGAGAGTATGACTACCCATAACCACATATGGATACTAGGTAGCAAAATAGGGAAAAAAAAATTAAGTACCAGTGTACATTACTATAAACACAACTGTAGGACACATGCATGTGGTTACCTAAACACTAGTGTCGACTCTGCCACTACCCTCCAAACCCAACATCAGTGCCCCCCCTTCACTCTGTATAGAGAATGACAAGGATACACCGCTGCAAAACCAAAGTTCAGGTCTAGAGAACCATGCCAGAATCCACACCACCATTAAATCTTTATCTCAGAAATAATAAATGTTCACCTAAATTTTTTGTTTCTGATTGCTGTGCCATACAATATAAATACAATTAAAAAAAAAATGATGTGGTGTCGTGGGACACCAGGTAGGAACGAAGTTCCTTTGGCTAATGTAGAATCGACACAAATTGCAGGTTTTCTTGATTTTTCTCTTAATTTTTTTTAAGTACAAGAAAGTATTTAGGAAATTCAGTATTTTAGGAAATAATAAATTACTTAAAATAAAAAACATCGTAATTCAAATTATCAACTAAAGTAACAAAATATGTCTCTTTAGTTTTGTTTGACAACATAAAATTACATAGAAAAAACTACTTACTAGATCTCGGTCAAACCAATTTTCGGTGGAAGTTTGCATAGTAATGTACTAGATTTTTTTTAGTTTTATCAGTCTCTTATTTTAGAAGTTACAGGATACATTTTACCACTTTGGAAGTGTCTCACTCTGAAACTATTCAGT